TCATCGTCGGCAAACCCAGGACATAACGCATGGCGTTGCAGGTGTCTCCATGTGTTTCCCAGAATGCAATCTTGCTCGTAAAAACATTGAACAGCACAGGTAAAACTGCAGAACCTTTTGGTAGTTCTGGAGCTATAATACATGGTTCAGAGGTCCATGAACCCAGGCGGAGAACTACCCGGCGAGTATACAAAACGGCTGCTATCCAATTCACCAACCAAGGACAGATTCTCTTCTCCATAAGCGCTTTCATCAAGATACTGTATCTGACTCTGTTGTAAGCGTCTTCTAAATCAAGTGCCGCTACCACCGTTTCCTGTCTGATCTGGAAACCTTCAAAGGTATCAAAGGCAAAAGTGGCTGCATTTGACCATGTGACCTTCGCTGGCCGGTAACTTCCCAAACCTCGTTGAAGGAGCTTTCTCTGTTCCAAAAATCTTTGTAGCTTACCTAAAACTATTTTCTGCAATACTTTATCAAAGGTGTTTTGTAGGGTTATGATCCTAAAGTCGCCGAGTGTTTTATGATTCTTGCCAGGTTTAGGAAGTGGAATCAGGTAGCTGTACATCCACTCTTCTGGGACTAAAGCTGTCCTTATGCTTTGGTTGAAGCAAACAGTCATCTCCAACAGGTTTGCATCACTCATGTGAGAAAATCTAATCCAGTTGGACCCGGGCGCAGTGTCGGTCGCCCTTTTCTGAACACGTTTTACATCTTCCACCTGTATGATATCTTCATAATGTTTGTTCTTTAAGATAGCTGCCAGATCTTCTCTATCTGTTATCTCCATCATTGTGGTCTGTGAAATGAACCTTTTCAGGAAAGCCTCCCCCCAACCAGACAAAGAGAAGGGGCAGGCTATCTATACTCCAATTGTTTTTACTACAAATAATGCGCCAACAAAAAGCACACAGAATGCCTATCACTGCCCCTTTCCCGGGGGGGGGGGGGGGGGGGGGGGGGGCAGGTTGCTGCCCGTAGCATAGACACAAACAGTATAGACACTCATCGTGTTGTGAAGTGGAGACTACAGCTATTGCAATAGATGATCAAGTGGAGACTACAGCGATTGCCACAGATGATCAAGTGGAGATTACAGCTATTGCAATAGATGATCAAGTGGAGATTACAGCTATTGCCATAGATGATCAAGTGGAGATTACAGCTATTGTCATAGATGATCAAGTGGAGATTACAGCTATTGCCATAGATGATCAAGTGGAGACTACACCTATTGCCATAGATGATCAAGTGGAGATTACATCTATTGCCACAGATGATCAAGTGGAGATTACAGCTATTTCCATAGATGATCAAGTGGAGATTACAGCTATTGCCATAGATGATCAAGTGGAGATTACAGCTATTGCCATAGATGATCAAGTGGAGACTACAGCTATTGCCATAGATGATCAAGTGGAGACTACAGCTATTGTCATAGATGATCAAGTGGAGACTACAGCTATTGCCATAGATGATCAAGTGGAGACTACAGCTATTGTCATAGATGATCAAGTGGAGATTACAGCTATTGCCACAGATAATCAAGTGGAGAATACAGCTATTGCCATAGATGATCAAGTGGAAGCTCACAAGTCAACAGCCTGACATAAGTTTCACGCGGATCAAATTAGAAGACTGGATCCTAGGTGGCACACACTACAGCAGCACACTTTCTGCATGTCATTTACCCATGTCAGTCAAATCTTGTATGAGTTTCTGAAATCTCTGGTTACAGACCACAGCTGGTACCTGTCAGCCAGGCCTTGTTTGTGTAACACAGAAACCATCCAGGAAACAGCAGACACTCCACCAAACACAGAAACCATCCAGGAAACAGCACACACTCCACCAAACACAGAAACCATCCAGGAAACAGCACACACTCCACCAAACACAGAAACCATTCAGGAAACAGCACACACTCCACCAAACACAGAAAAATCCAGGAAACAGCACACACTCCACCAAACACAGAGACAATCCAGGAACCTGCACACACTCCACCAAACACAGAAACCATCCAGGAACCTGCACACACTCCACCAAACACAGAAACCATCCAGGAAACAGCACACTCCACCAAACACAGAAACCATCCTGGAACCTGCACACACTCCACCAAACACAGAAACCATCCAGGAACCTGCACACACACCACCAAACACAGAAACCATCCAGGAAACAGCACACACTCCACCAAACACAGAGACCATCCAGGAAACAGCAGACACTCCACCAAACACAGAGGCCATCCAGGAAACAGCACACACTCCACCAAACACAGAAACCATTCAGGAAACAGCACACACTCCACCAAACACAGGAACGATCCAGGAAACAGCACACATTCCACCAAACACAGGAACGATCCAGGAAACAGCACACACTCTACCAAACATAGGAACGATCCAGGAAACAGCACACACAAACACATATTTTAAGGTCTGCCAAAAACGGTTTTCATTCACAATATGTTTGGACCAACATGCTTTAATGCATTATCTTAGCAACAGAATTATTTACAAATAAAAGTAGTAATAAAATGTATTCACAAACACTTGCAGTTTTACACATTTCAGACAAATAGTAATAAATGTGGTGTAATTAACGAATGAACAACCAATTAAAAACATGTACTCATTTTAATGTTTTTAAAAGCTCCAGATAAGTGTAAATGTACACTTTCACATCAGAAATATTACAAAGGTTATGACGTGTACATAATTTCACACTTTGTGTTTATGTCTGAACTTGCTTTCTTCTGACAGAATCAACAGAATAAAAAAAATGGCAATGCAGGTGAAATCTGAATTACAGAGGTTTTGTAAATATGGTAGGTGTAGTGAAATAATCAAGGAAATGAAGGCATCAATGAAACAGAACTAAACACAAGCATGAGATCATGTGTAGATAAAGTATTAGTGAAAGCTAACCCACAGAGAAGAAAGGATCACACTCCTGGCAATGTTCATGGGCCATGGTGAAGATGAACACAAGCATGAGATCATGTGTAGATAAAGTATTAGTGAAAGCTCATCCACAGAGGACAAGGATCACACTCCTGGCAATGTTCATGGGCCATGGTGAAGATGAACACAGACATTTAATGCAGGTAAAACCGAGGTTGTCAGGACATGATTCGAACTGTTTCAGGAAAACAGGTGGGCTCCCCATACACAGGCAGTTCAAAGTAAAACAGGTGGGTTCCCCACACACAGGCAGTTCAAAGTAAAACAGGTGGGTTCCCCACACACAGGCAGTTCAAAGTAAAACAGGTGGGTTCCCCACACACAGGCAGTTCAAAGTAAAACAGGTGGGCTCCTCATACACAGGCAGTTCAAAGTAAAACAGGTGGGTTCCCCACACACAGGCAGTTGACAGTAAAACAGGTGGGTTCCCCACACACAGGCAGTTGACAGTAAAACAGGTGGGTTCCCCACACACAGGCAGTTGACAGTAAAACAGGTGGGCTCCCCATACACAGGCAGTTCAAAGTAAAACAGGTGGGCTCCCCATACACTGGCAGTTGACAGTAAAACAGGTGGGCTTCCCATACACAGGCAGTTGACAGTAAAACAGGTGGGCTCCCCATAAACTGGCAGTTGACAGTAAAACAGGTGGGTTCCCCACACACAGGCAGTTGACAGTAAGACAGGTGGGCTCCCCATACACAGACAGTTGACAGTAAAACAGATGGGCTCCCCATACACAGACAGTTGACAGTAAAACAGGTGGGCTCCCCATACACAGGCAGTTGACAGTAAAACAGGTGGGTTCCCCACACACAGGCAGTTGACAGTAAAACAGGTGGGCTCCCCATACACAGGCAGTTGACAGTAAAACAGGTGGGCTCCCCATACACAGACAGTTGACAGTAAAACAGGTGGGTTCCCCACACACAGGCAGTTGACAGTAAAACAGGTGGGCTCCCCATACACAGACAGTTGACAGTAAAACAGATGGGCTCCCCATACACAGACAGTTGAGAGTAAAAGACAGGGATAGCATCTATGCTTGCCACAGCAATCACACAGAGATGGCAGAGTTGTGACAGTAATAACTGATATTAGAAACATAAGGACACCAAGGGCACATAAGAACATAATGAAGTCTATTGAAAGAAATGAACTTACAAAGGAAATAATTACCCACATCAGTAGATAATCCATTCTTTGGAAGGAAAAGCTGGTGTATGTCCATATTTGGACAGATCTGTGTTAGTACGTAAAGTAGCAGACATTAGCTGACTCAATAAAAGAAGACATTATAAATGGTATGCAAGGATCATAAACTGGAGGCAATTCTAGCCAAACAGTTTGGAGAGCTTTTTATTTTACACAAGGAAACTTGTGGAAACATTTATCTTAACCCTCTGGAGACGGAGCCTTTTTGGAGTTTCAGTGCCAAAATGATGAAGCCTTAGTAGGGGATTTTCAGAGTTTATTCACACAAAAGGGGCTTGCGTGGTCTCGAGGTATGGTGTAAGCTTTTTGTTTTAAAACTTGGGAACAATCGTGACTAACACAACAAATTTGGGTGAATTTTTGGATGGATGAAGCTTGAATAAGTCCTAACACCTGTGTTTGGGAAGTAAGACCCTTGGAGGCCATTCAGACACTTCTGGCACATGGTTCTACTCATTTTCCTGCCCCCAGCTATGTTTCGGTTGCTATGACGGAACAGTCCTTTTTGCCATTGTTGGGCACAGGTAACCCCAGAAAGAAATGGATGTAAAATTACCAAAAACATCAAATGTTCTCCAAAGCCGTCAATGAACAGCCCCCATGTGCAAGAAACGCGAGAAGCAATTTGATTGGGTGGTACAAAAAACCTGCCAGCCAATCTCAAGGCTTGTGTAACATAGGGCCAACCGATCGACCCAGTTGTCCTTATGTCTAATTTGTGGTGGGCCGATATTTCGACCGCGTCGTCTCCAGAGGGTTAATGTAAACAACACCTCATGAGCATTTTGAACTGACCAACATTAAGGATCTGTATTATGACACTTGAACCGATGGATGCAAAGGCTTGACTCTCTGATTCCGAGACAAGCCAAGACGAAGACCTGAAGATGGTGACCTGACTGTGGCGGCTGATACCTCTTCAGAGCTTCCCCGAGCTGCACAAATAAATGTACAGAATTTCAGCAGGAATTCAAAACACTTGTACAGAATTATTTACCTGCACAGTAAAATGCTTTCACATATAACAAATACTATAAATGTCAATGAATAAATGAATGACTGCTGTGTGAGTCTTTTTTTTATTTTTTATTTTATCGGCTGTGAATTCGAGTGGAAGGTCCCAGTTAATCGTCCGCTTGGACTTTTGGCTTTCACCTGGACCTGATTTTTGCGTGTACAACCGTTTTTCATTTCCCTGCCTCATGGGCAGCTGTACTCCGACTTCGAAGGAAGACGTCAGGCCTATTTCTAGGTTGACTGTGGCCATTGTTTTGTGTGGGTCGTGACGTTGCCTGATTTGTGTGGTGTCCACTTTGTCCCCTTCGCCGCAGGTATTGCCCTTGGAGTACCCCTTTGGGGCAGCCCCCTGTGGAACAGTTAGCCCTCAAGGGAAGGCAGGGGCAGATCATGGGCATTCCCCGCCATCCAAGGAGGCTTCCATGCATGCAGAGCCGGCACATGGCGCTCTGGTTCTGGGCTCACTCAAGAAATCGTCACGTCCTGCACATGCCTTCTTAACCTCACAACCGTATCAGGCCTCCCGCTCGACAGGGGCTGCGCCCTCTGGAAGTCAGCGGGGAGCAGCCCGTGGGTTTTGGACTTTTGTGACCACACAGATAGGTACATTCTTTTTTCCTCGCACGTTAGATTTCTTTGCCGAGCCGTTAGCCCGACAGAATTTTACATCCTGCATCAGGCATATCGTTATCAGTTTTGTCCCAACACTCGGGCGAGTGGGGTATGATCTAGTTTTGTCGGACAATTAGGCTTAGCCACCCGATGGTTGGTTGCTGTTGTGGTGTACCTCAGCGCGGTGACGACGACACTGAGGGTTAACCGAGGATGTACATGAATGGTCAGCCTATGGATGGTTGCTGTTGTGGTGTACCTCAGCGCGGTGACGACGACACTGAGGGTTAACCGAGGATGTACAAGGATGGCCAGCCTATGGATGGTTACTGTTGTGGTGTACCTCAGCGCGGTGACGATGACACTGAGGGTTAACAGAGGATGTGCAGTGAACAATGTTCTCTTTACTCCGCAGTCTTTTAACCAAGGGTTGTAATTTTGGCTGTACGTTTGGCAGACCTACTCATGTTCCTAATGAGTTTTGGTAACATTTTTTCACCCAAGCGTTTGGGGGCGGGCTGATGAGAGCCACAAGGACACATCACCTCTGGGGGCCGCCGAACTCCGAGATCCCCTGACAGCTCTGTTAATGCTCATTTGAGACATTATCCGTGGCGCACGACGAGGACATGCTGTAGGGGTCTTGCGTGAGGTTCCGTACAACCAGGATAGTAAAGGACTGGCGTCCGAGTGACGTACGGAGTATCTCCTTATACACATCAAGTTGGACTTAACTTCCCCTCACGCCTGTGACATAAATCACCGCGCCACTGTGTGAGTCTGTTACCATTACAAATGTTGGGCGGTGCTGCTCTCAAACAACTGAAGTGATGTGTGTTTCATATTTATACAGCACAATTAGGAAGGCACTAGACCAGTTGTTGTTCTTCTTCTTCTTCGCGTTCACCAGCTGTACACTCTGGCGGAAAGTTCTGGTTGCTCATCAACTACTGAACTGCAGTCTTGCTCCAGAACCTGAGTGTTGCGTGTGCATCAGTTTTACAAATTTCATTCTCCTGAATACAGACTGTTGTTCCTTGCCTCTCTGGCAGATGCACTCCGACTTCAAAGGAAGCTCCCCAATTAGTCGACTCTTACGACATGCTTTTGGGGAGGCAGTGGGTCTATTCTTGTTTTCCCCCACAATGGGGCCCCGGAACCCACACGGGGGTAGTTGTTGTTCAAATCTATTTCAATCCAAGCAACTTTCATCATCAACTTTTACATCTTTCTGAAAATCTTACAATGAAATGTACACCAATCCGCCCACACGTCTGTTGTAACCTATCTCTACAAAATCTACACTGTGCTCATGCCATCTTAAACTGCTTTTTTGTTTGTGTTTCGCTTTGTTAGCCTAAAGGTTTCTTCTGTAATTTATTTCTTGAACACTTTAAATAGATCATTCTGTGCTGATGAGATCACAACTGTCTCTCTTTTGTGTAGCTAGTTCATCAGTGTCATGTTTACATTGTCATTACAACTGTCTCTCTTTTGTGTGGCTAGTTCATCAGTGTCATGTTTATATTGTCATTGCAACTGTCTCTCTTTTGTGTGGCTAGTTCATCAGTGTCATGTTTATATTGTCATTGCAACTGTCTCTCTTTTGTGTGGCTAGTTCATCAGTGTCATGTCTATATTGTCATTACAACTGTCTCTCTTTTGTGTGGCTAGTTCATCAGTGTCATGTTTACATTGTCATTACAACTGTCTCTCTTTTGTGTGGCTAGTTCATCAGTGTCATGTTTATATTGTCATTGCAACTGTCTCTCTTTTGTGTGGCTAGTTCATCAGTGTCATGTTTATATTGTCATTACAACTGTCTCTCTTTTGTGTGGCTAGTTCATCAGTGTATGTTTATATTGTCATTACAACTGTCTCTCTTTTGTGTGGCTAGTTCATCAGTGTCATGTTTATATTGTCATTACAACTGTCTCTCTTTTGTGTGGCTAGTTCATCAGTGTATGTATGTATGTATGTATGTATGTATGTATGTATGTATGTATGTATGTATGTATGTACGTACGTATGCATGCATGCATGCATGCATGCATGTATGTATGTATGTATGTATGTATGTATGTATGTATGTATGTATGTATGTATGTATGTATGTATGTATGTTTGTGTGTATGTGTGTATGCCTGTATGTATGTGTGTATGCCTGTATGTATGTATGTATGTATGTATGTACGTACGTACGTACGTACGTACGTACGTACGTATGTATGTAATGTATGCATGTATGTGTGTGTAAGTGAGTGGGTGAGTTTGTGTATGTGGGTGTATGTATATTTATGGGTGTGTGTATGCACGCACGGGTTTTTGCTTGCACTTTACAACTCATGCTTTTGTGTTCTTTTATAATATTCATAATATGCATATCATATGATCATAACATGCTTTATTAGTAAAATACAACTGCTGTGCGAAAGATTGAGTGGAAGGGCCGAATGTAAGACGGGCCTGAGTGCCCAATTTGTGACCCTTAGAAAATAAAGTTTGTTCGTTCGTGTCATGTTATATTGCCATCAAAACCTAAGAAAAAAATGTTTCATAGCATATCTTGGTACACTTGTTTCCATAGCGAGGCGCACATGCCATCTGGAGGTGACAGGTTTGATTCCCAGTACGGTAACTATAGCTATCCATTTTTATGTTGTCTAATGTCCTTCTATCTTTTTACTTCTTTCTATGAGTGCCGGTCACTACATTGTCTTTTATTATATAATATGTTTCTACAGCCTAAAGGGGGTTCCCTCTGTTTATTTATGTGTATTAGAAGGACTAGGAATTTCTACTTTAACTAAAATAGCATTCAGAAAGAAAAAAAGAGTAGAAGGGGTGGAGGGAGGGTCATGTTGGGGATCAAATACCTTTATGAACATAAATTAATGTCTAAAACTTGGCCATTGTCTCTCTGGAGTGTTAACCTGTGACTGGGTCATGGGGTCCACACACTTTTTGTTTTCTGTAAACATTTATTGTGTAGACTCCCTGAAGTGTGACCCAGTTAATTCTCTGCTACATGTTCTATTGATAACTCTTTATATTCTCTAATTTGTTTTAGTCGATAGATATATTCATTTTTTAGCGACCTGCGTAAAAAGACAATTGTAAGGAATTTTTTCAGGACTTCCCTAACTACAGGTTGTTGGCACTGTTTTGGTTTTTACCATTACTTACAGACAAGTCTACATGGATGTTGTCTAAACAGGTAATCTGTGATTCTCAATGTTTCAGAAGGTCCAAACAGATAATCATGTAGGTTATACAGACAGATCTCTTGAAGTCTGTAGGTGGGGAGATGATGGGGAGAGTGATCTAGGTGATTCACTTATCTCAGTGGCACCAAGAGGAAGAAGAGTGGGGCTGAGTATGGACACAATGCATAACATGCGTGAAATAGGTAAGCTGCTAAACGTGGAAATGGTGGTTGAAATGAATTAACCTGACAAGGACGTCTGTAGTCACTCTTGGCAGTTAAAGGGATGACCACAGACAGGGATGACACAGTCACATTCATCAATGTGCCACAGACAGGGATGACACAGGCACATTCATCAATGTGCCACAGACAGGGATGACACAGGCACATTCTTCAATGTGCCACAGACCACAGACAGGGATGACACAGTCACATTCATCAATGTGCCACAGACCACAGACAGGAATGACACAGGCACATTCATCAATGTGCCACAGACAGGGATGACACAGGCACATTCTTCAATGTGCCACAGACCACAGACAGGGATGACACAGTCACATTCATCAATGTGCCACAGACAGGGATGAAACAGGTACATTCATTAATGTGCCACAGACAAGGATGACACAGGCACTCCGGCTTCAAAGGGAACCCCTGATAAGTCCACTTTTACGACATGCGTTTTGTTAGGGTGACAGTAAATTATTCTTGTTTTCCCCAACAATGTGGCCCTGCACCCAACAATGTGGCCCTGCACCCAACAATGTGGCCCCGCACCCAACAATGTGGTCCCGCACCCAACAATGTGGCCCCGGAACCCACACAGAGAGCTACTAGGAGAGACAAAGCTTGCAAGTGTGTGTTCTCCATCCAGTGAAGCTGTTTATATTGTTGGTTAATGAAGCACACCTAGTTCTAATTGACATTGAGGCATCAAGTGAAGAGAGGACCGAGAATGTGACACTCACCAGGTGGCTTCCATGGGGAGATCAGACTGCTGGCTAGTTTCTGAGAGCAAACCTTTGGTGCAGTTGCTGATTTGCTGCCGACTGCAGATGGCTTGGTCATACTTGGAGGGGGATTGCTGGAGCACAGGCTGGAGGTTGCCATATCTGATGGTCCAGGAGGTTGTGACTTGGCTGTAGAGATATGGAAGGTTAAACAGAAACAGTAGTCACAGATGAAACCAATAACTGGCAATGATGCTTGAGTAAAAAGATATGTTGCACTGATGGTCCAAATGAACAAGCATTTAATATGATAACACCCAAGAGACATGTGCAAGTACGTGAATGTTTCTGACTAAATCAAAAGACTGTCAACAGATGCTGATAATGTCACATACTGGCAACACAAATTACATCTCTTACTATCCTAGGATAAGGGCCAGTAAGCACTAGACGGGTGATATGATCAAAAACATTCCAGCCAGCCACTTCTAGGTTGAGTTGACCTGAGAGTTCAAGTTCATTGAAACATTCTGATTTGGTGGGAATTAAAACACATGACCACTGGGCTGACAGGCAAGAATACTAGCCAGTGTCAACTAGCCCAGCTGCATCTTTCAGAAGTAGCAGTACATGTATCTGAGTGGAGTGGAGTTGATTCAAGAGCCGACATCACAGCACTCGGGGCATTCCTATAAGCACTCTGCCCCCATTTTCAGCAGCCAGTTAGGAGCTCCGATGCTAATGGTGCCAGTAACATTCTGATTAAACGTCCGTCTTGCCTTTCATCTGAGCCTCGAGCATCTGCCTGAACCTCTCGTCACTCCCTGCTGCACCAGACTGTGGTGATCTATCTGCTCCTCCAAACTGTACACGCTCTCCCACAAGGCACTAACCATGTCTGCCTTATCATGCATCAGTATTCCACCAAGTTGTGCAGAGCCAGCAAGTCTGTCCATTTCCCCACACACCGGCATGTCCCTGTGAGAAAATCCATACAATACTCCTCACCCGTGTCCTCCGCAGTGAAGCATGCCACTCTGCACGAAGCACGCCTATCCTGACCTTCCATAGCATGCTTTCCGAGTCAATTACAATCATGATGTGTGTGTCATTTTCTCTAACTAGCAAAAAGCTGCAGTGACCACCTCCACCTGCACTCTTAAGCTGGATGTTGTAGTATCAAATGCTAGGCTCTCCTGCATTCAAACAGACAATCAGACTGCAGACTGACTACCAACTTTAGTCTGTACTGGTCAGTGCTGATTTGAAAAGGAAGTAGGGTCTTAAAAAGGGGGAAGTAACTCTTAAGTTAATCCTTCCACTACTAATTTGTCTTTAAACTTCTTAATTTAATAATATTGCTATAATGAAGCAATAAGAGAAAGCTTGAAAATTTAATAATATTACTTATAAAATGCAATACTTAAAAGGGAAGAAACAGCTGTCCAGACCAGCTCGTCGCAGCTCTCCTGCATCAAATGTCGACCATTAACTTTTGCTAAGAAACCCCAAGCACTTCTTTTGTCTCCTGACACTGAACCGTCTGTGTAAATAATCAAATCCTCTGAGGGAGCATTATCTTGAATTAACTGCTGAATTTCCACCTCCGTGGCACCTGCTGGCCAGTCTCTGCATTCCTGGCTCAACATGATTATGACCCTACACGAGTCTGACTGTTCAGGTGGCACTCTGACCCACTCCTCTCCTCGTCTGTTCTCAAGGATTCAAACCTGTCTGATTGTGTCTTCTGCCTGAGCTATCTATGATTCACCTCTTATCAGCCTCTGACCCTTAACTTGAGCCCACAGCTCGTGCAAAATGTGGTCTGTGTCTACAGCTGCCTTGAGATATGATTTCACCTGCAGCACCTTGTGCCTACCTGCAAAAGTCGGCAAACTAAGGATGTATCGCATACACCCCACTAAGGGTGTCTCTGGTGCAACCCAGAATGACCCACATATCTGCGTTCTGTATGCGCTCTAGTTTGTCCATCTGACTCTTTGAGACGGTAAGCAGTCCCAAGCCATAATCCACCACTGGCAGGATCAGGTGCTGATATAGTGTGAGAAGCACTCTCTGCTCTATGTCAATTGCAGCCGTAGTCTTAAGTGCCCTAAGTCCTTTTTGGCATCTGGTCACAACTTAAAGGACAGGCTGCTGACAAATCTAATTCCCAGATACTTCAATTTGCTCTCTCTACTGACCTTTCTACCATCTATTGTGAGACTTGTGTCATTAGCTCCAACGATCCTGTTGTCTAGAAAACACCACAAAACAGATGCCTTTTCCATGTGGACAATAGCCCTTATTTCTGTACACCCTCAGTCACTTTGTCTACTCTCGCTTGCAGCTCCCGGGCTGTTTGTTCTCTCTCTTCCCACTGCCTATATGAAAGTATATAATCCGCAAAAGTCAGTATCCTTCCAACTCCTGGTGCTTCTAGGCTTGCAATCTTGCTCGTATACAGGTTAAAGAGCACAGGCAAGATTGCGGATCCCTGTGGCTGTCCTGGGGCCAAACTGCATGGTTCTGAGGTCCATGAGCCCAGTTGGAGAGCAACCCGGCGTGAATACAGGACAGCTGCAATCCAATTCACCAGCCATGGATTGACCTCCTTCTCCCTCAGTGCAGTCATTAAGATGTTGTATCTTACTCTGCTATAAGCATCCCCGAGATCCAGTTCTACCGCCATAGTTTTCTGTCTGTTCTGGAACCCTTCATAGACGTCGAAAGCAAAAGTGGCCGCATTTGCCCAAGTGTCCTTTCCTGGCCTGTAGCTTACCAGACCTCTTGGGAAAAGCTTCCCACTTCCCAAAAATTCTTGCAGCTCAACAGCAACTATCTTCTCCTAAACCTTCCCAAATGTGTTTTGTAAGGTGATGTTTCTAAAGCCACTGAGCTTTGTATGATCCTTAAAAGATTTTGGCAGTGGGATTAGATAGCTGTGCACCCAGTTCTGCGGTACTGATGCTGTCTTAATTCTCTAGTTAAAGCAGTCGGTCATCTCTGCCAGGTCTACATCGCTCAAAGCCTTCATGTGGCCATTCCTGACCCCATCAGGCCCTGGTGCAGTGTCTTTTGCCTTTTTCCAAATTTGTTTTTCTACTTCTATCATGTCTTCATAATGCATATTCTTTAAAATACCAGCTAACTTCTATCTAACTAAATCCCTGATGTGACATGTATGTATGTATGTATGATGTGACATGTATCTATCAGATCTGATAACACCAGTTCTGTGTTGGTTTACTATTCTTATTTGGCTACCTGTCTAGTGTTTGATGATACCTCTTTTGAGCTGAAGTCCTTGTAGTCTTTTAAGTGCTGCCAATTCAACGTTATTTCCTGAATCATCTTCTCGACCCGATTCCTTGACAGCATTAAGAATGTCAGCCCAATCTTTTGCTTTTTCCTGTACCTACCGTGGACCTGCCAGCAAGCCAATCTGCTCATTCATTCCCTCTTACCCGCTATCTTCTTTTACCGTTTTCCCTCAAACCAGAACTGTGAAAGCCCATGAACTCTGTATGTGTCGAACGACGGATCCGTCAGCGTAGATAACTGCACCTCCGTCAGCAGAATTTTCTAGAATTAAAGCTTGAACTTCTGCCTCAACCACCAGCGGGCCATGTTGTCTGCAGTCTCTGTCCAGTTTGATGCAGACTGGACAGGATGTACACCACTCTGCTGGCAATTTTCCTCTTCTTTTCATGCAACCCTCTTTGCTGAAAATCACACTGTGCAATGGATGGTGTGTAACAGCACTGATACGCACGTGCTTGGCAGATCACAGTTCTCACTTCATTGATTGGAAGATCAAGGAAGTAACTCATCGCTCTGCATGCTGTATTTTTTGTGCATCTAAGTATCATGAGCATGGCCTCATTCTGTACCCGATCTAGTCTGTCTGCGTACAGTTAAGAGTCAGAATCGCAAGAGTGTACTCGGTTACAGAAAGGATTAGACCCTGGTATAAGAAAAATAGGTGACATTGCTCAAGGTTTGTTCAGCCATAATCCTTAGCACAATCAAACCTCCCTATGGCTTCATTATCATGTGGTTAACATGCTCATAAAAAGGAAGACTATGATGAAAACAGACCTCTAGAAACTTCACTAAATGAGTTCTGTCCATAATCTCCGAACACATACTTACAACTGGCGTTGGTGTGTTTATAATATGGTTATTCAGGAAAAAACCATGTCACCGTTGACTTTGATGGCCGCTCCCGCTTCATCGCACCACCTGCTTATGCAATCAAGTTTTGTCTGAAGGCAGTCAGCAACCTGCTACCGGGCTCTGAGTTGACGGTACACACCAAAACATTATCAGCACAGGATAGTGTCCTTCCCGGTCCCCTGATCTGCTTTCCTGTGATTCCCATAGTGGACATTTGGAGACGCTTCTGGGATAAAAGTGAACCTTGTGTCAGGCCGGGGTGTGTGGTTATTGGCTCAGATGGACAACTACCACATTTAAATACCACCGTCAGCTTGAAGAGAGCCAAGGAGATCTAATGAATGAGGGCTGAGACTAAGAGCAAGAAGATGACCAATCAAGAAGTCAAATGGTACCCTTCTGTACGCATCCTCAAGATCAACTGTAGCAGCACAAGTTTCCATCCCTGAGTGGAATCCTCATAAACATCATAAGCAAAGTTTGCCCCATTCCCCCAGGACTCTCTGTTTTAGGAAATATCCTCCCATGGTGGGCGGAAGGAGGCCTAACTGCTCAAGATTACTGTCATATACAATGGGAAAACATTGTTTCCAACATACATATATGTCATGTGAATAAGAAGAGGAAGTCACTAATTCAATGTAAGGCATTATATTTCTGAATGTATGACTAGATGAGAATGTAAGCACAGGCCACCAGGTGTCCAACACTCATGCAGTCTTGCACTGCTAGTGAACATCACCTCCTGGAGTGTCTTGTTCTTGCAAATGTCAGCAACTTCGAACCTTAACCAGTCAGAACTTATAGCAACAGCTGCTGAACTGTGTGGTGTTGTGACTCATTTTGACACATACAATTTCTAGCAAATGAGTTGTTTACCAAACAAAGTTTGTATACCAAGCAAAATTGGTTCTGTATAAACCAGATGTATACCAGGTTGGACTGATTGGAAAGCAGAAGTATACTGAGTTACAACTGTACATTCTAATACAGAGATAGTCTTACCAAATGTCTTTCTTGCACCCTTTACACTTCCCTTTTGAATGGATTTGGATATTTTTGAAGCCATTGCAGAGCTTTTGTTTTTTCTTTTTGGATTTACTGTTTTAATTTGTGTGCATCTGCGGCCAGTGTTACTTCTTGTTTCATCATCATCCTCACTTTCTGTGTTCCCTTTGCTTTTGTCCTCATCACTGTCATCATCGGGGTTAAAGTCACTTTCATCTGAGGAAATACCAAGTGTATCAGTGTCTAGTCGGAGAATTTGATCCAGTGTCTGGTCTAGGCATATACTGTTTCAATGTCTGGTCTAGGCATACGCTGTTTCAATGTCTGGTCTAGGCATATACTGTTTCAATGTCTGATCTAGGCATATACTGTTTCAATGTCTTGGCACTCATTAAATGTTTCAATGTCTGGGTACTCATTAACTGTTTCAATGTCTTGGCACTCATTAAATGTTTCAGTGTCTGGGTACTCATTAACTGTTTCAGTGTCTGGGTACTCATTAACTGTTTCAGTGTCTGGGTACTCATTAACTGTTTCAGTGTCTGCGTACTCATTATCTGTTTCAGTGTCTGGGTACTCATTATCTGTTTCAATGTCTTGGCACTCATTAAATGTTTCAGTGTCTGGGTACTCATTAACTGTTTCAGTGTCTGGGTACTCATTAACTGTTTCAGTGTCTGCGTACTCATTATCTGTTTCAGTGTCTGGGTACTCATTATCTGTTTCAATGTCTTGGCACTCATTAACTGTTTCAGTGTCTGGGTACTCATTAACTGTTTCAGTGTCTGGGTACTCATTAACTGTTTCAGTGTCTGGGTACTCATTAACTGTTTCAGTGTCTGGGTACTCATTAACTGTTTCAGTGTCTGCGTACTCATTATCTGTTTCAATGTCTTGGCACTCATTAAATGTTTCAGTGTCTGGGTACTCATTAACTGTTTCAGTGTCTGGGTACTCATTAACTGTTTCAGTGTCTGGGTACTCATTATCTGTTTCAATGTCTGGGTACTCATTATCTGTTTCAATGTCTTGGCACTCATTAAATGTTTCAGTGTCTGGGTACTCATTAACTGTTTCAGTGTCTGGGTACTCATTAACTGTTTCAGTGTCTGCGTACTCATTATCTGTTTCAATGTCTTGGCACTCAATAAATGTTTCAGTGTCTGGGTACTCATTAAATGTTTCAGTGTCTGGGTACTCCTTAACTGTTTCAATGTCTTGGCACTCATTAAATGTTTCAAAGTCTGGGTACTCATTAACTGTTTCAATGTCTTGGCACTCATTACTTTTAATGTCTGGGTACTCATTAACTGTTTCAATGTCTGGGTACTCATTAACTGTTTCAGTGACTGGGTACTCATTAACTGTTTCAATGTCTGGGTACTCATTAAATGTTTCAATGTCTGGGTACTCATTAACTATGTCAGTGTCTGGGTATTCATTTACCGCTTCAGTGTCTGATCATGAACATGGAGAAGTCCTAATGAAAAAAAAAAAACCAGATCTATGACATCCTCATTGACAGAGGATTTTGAAATGCTTTAAAGAAAAGTAGCAGGAACTGAATCACAGATCTGCTGCTACAAATAGGTTAGCTCTAGGCAACAAACATCTCAAATTGAATCAACATACAATTGCATATTGATGCACCGACAAACCTCAACATACAACTACATAGTGATGCACTGACAAACCTCAACATACAATTACGTATTGATGCACTGACAAACCTCAACATACAATTACATATTGATGCAATGACAAATCTGGAGAGAACTTTAAAAATTTCAATAGAGATTTAAAGAATCAGATCTGACAATGATTTGTCTAGATGTTAATGATCACAGGGACATGCAGATAGGCTGCAGAAACAGTTGTTGCTTAACTGAAGTGGATAGACTTTTAGAAACGAGTAACAGAAGACATCTTAAATAAATTAAAGACAAATAAAACTATGAAAGGGCACATGCATACAAGGGGAATCAAATTAGGTGGTCATTTCATAAACAATATAAGATATGCAGATAATACATAGCTGATTGTATTCAACGAACAGGATATGGTGGAAATGCTGCATTTGTAACTATACTCTGCCTGAAACTAAGGTTAGGATTATATTTTATGAAAACAAATAGCAGGATTATACACACAAATAAAAAATAAAAAAATATCACGCTGTAACATCAAAGTAAAAAAAAACAAGTGAAGTGGTACAACTATCCTGGTGTGTGCATGCAAAAACACACACACATACAATCTAGAACCTGTCCACACAACTGGAGAATGGATGACATGAGAAGAATGAGAGTTTTACAGTTGACATCACTCACCAGTTTCATCATTCCTGTTGACTAGCCGAGGTTTTTTACAAGCTTGCCTGTGTGTTGGTGCCTGCTGGGTATTGCCACTGTTGGCATTCTCTGATTCAACAAGTTCAATACTGTCATCCACAAGCACAGTTGCATGAGATAACCGGGAGCTGCAAGTGACTGTTGTGGCAGTATGTACGGAGGATTCCAGGGAATGTGGCTCAGCACAAATGTCCCCAGGGCTGGAGGCCAACTGTCCACTGTTTGTAAGAACATCTGTAGCAGACGTCAGTGCTTCGGAAACTTGGGGTTTGTAGTTGTCTGCAAATAATGGAAAGAACAATGGAAGGAGGACAGCGAATGAAATAAACTATTCATGATTCCAGTCAGGGTTTGCAGCCAAATTCACCGACATTTTTCAAGAGTTTTTCCAAGGTATTTTTGTTTTGTTCAAGGATGTACTAGGCACATGCGGTACTTTTTTCACTCGTACATGTGTGGATATATGCACACAGCTAAAGAGTATTTATATTTTTTGTAGACATGGCAGAGGGGAGCGAACTAAAATCATGTCTGCTCTAGACCTGGAGTAGACACACACTAAGAAAAGAATGTTCTTGCACTGGAACCCACAAGCTGATACAAATAAAGAAGGAGACAGAGGCATGGAGTCATACAGAATGAGAGGAAGGGATGAAGACAGATGATGAGGGACAGGGGAAGAGAGAGCCCGAAAAACAGAGAAGGAGACAAATACAGAAAGAAGGACAGGCAGGTAGAGTGATGCTCTGATGAAGAGAGAAGGAAGAAGGAAAGAAAGAGAGACACGGAAGGAGGAAAAAATATGACAGACAAAGAGAGCTGGAGGGAGGGGGACAGAGAGAAAAGGGACAGGCAGAGAGGGAGACGCAAGCCGAGAGAGATGTAGAAAGAAAGGATTGAGAGATGGAGGTACAGTATAGAGAAGCCAACACAGAGGGAGAAAAACAAAGTGACAGCAAAAGGCAGAGCAAGAGAATGGGAGGGAGGTATACAGAGAGGAAGTGATGGAGAAAGGCAAACAGACATAAAGCAAGAGAGAGACACACAGAGATATGGAGGGAGGGGTGTGTGTGGGGGGTGGGGGGGGGGGGAGAACAGTGACAAAAAGAGATAGAGAGAGAGGGGGTAGGTATTTGAGATAGACAGAGTGAAAATACGCCAAAATTGCTTACAAAAGTGAAACATCAAAGGAATAATTACCTAAATCATGATTCACAATTTTCCTGAATAAACTAAGTCTATTTCACATTACTTAAATCATGATTCACAACATTTTCCTGAATAAACTAAGTCTATTTCACATTATCTAAATCACGATTCACAACATTTTCCTGGTTAAACTAAGTCTATTTCACATTACCTAAATCATGATTCACAACAATTTTCCTGGTTAAACTAAGTCTATTTCACATTACCTAAATCATGATTCACAACAATTTTCCTGGTTAAACTAAGTCTATTTCACATTACCTAAATCATGATGCACAACAATTTTCCTGGTTAAACTAAGTCTGGTAATCTGGTAATCCTAGTTTCAGCTTCATAGCAAACGGGTCATCCCACAGTTGCTCCGCTCCTGTGCCAACGAAAAACAAACGCAGCTCACAGTGTCATGCCATGCACTCAACTCAGAAGCTGGGCGACGAAACTACATCCTTCCAGTCTACAAATGGAGCAAAAATGCAACAGCCACCGTCTGGCAGCCACGGCTTAAAAAAAAAACAAAGGTGGCCGTGCCTAGCGACCATTTTGACCGGAAGCATTATATGAGGGTTAATAAACGGTCACCCCAGCAGTATCCTCATTATTAGCTGGGAAAGGGACTTAGGACATTACATCCACCAGCAGGCGTCGCCCCTACAATGACCTGCTTGCCATCGTTAACGACTGTTCACCCAACAGCCATGAAGTTCTATGGCACGAAGGAGACACCTTGAACTTGGGTTTCTGACTGCCGACTCCCTACTAAGATGTTATTTTATGTTTTGTTATCACAATTGATGTCACTGCACATTTGGCATACCCATGCGTGCTCAGTTCTCCGAAGCAGCAGCCACTCCAAAGTACTTTTACTAATTGTCCCCATAAGAAGCTGGTTATATTGTCTCCTTTCTCTGCCTCGAAGACGGCAAAGACGTGCATCACCATGCTTAACTTCCATGTCACGCAATCGTATTAGTGTCAGGGATTCCTCCTTCTCCACTAGCCCAGTTCGTACAGCGTTGACTATATCTGCCCTGTCCATACTTTTTCCCGCAATCATTAGTGCAGTGCTTGCCTGTTGGTCTGCTCGATCATTTCCCTTCACGCCCGCATGACCCGGTGTGTAGATCCAGGTTACGGAGGCTAATTACGATTTCCGAATGCTTTCTATCTATTCAGAGCGCATACTGCCTGTTGCTATCTTCTGAAGCATATTCATTGAGTCTGAGACAATTACTACCTGTGTGGCGGTTTGCTCGGATACCCATGCTAAAGATCTAGAAGCAGCGGCTATTTCCATTGTCATGCTTGACGTGGCTGTCTGGTAAGCGCCCCTGTCCTCATGTATTGCTTTTCCCATTCTTTGCGCTGTGTATGCCCATGCTGATCTTGATCCGCGCTTCACAGATCCATCTGTGTAGATGATGGTATCTTCTGGGTCTGAATGCTGATCTATCAGTTCCCTTACTTCTGTGTCTACGGCCGCAGGAATTTGATTCCTGCAGTACCTTCCGAGTGTGATGACAACCTTAGAGATGCCATGCACGTCTACTGGTGTATTCGTCCATTCTTTTCCGTGACTGATCACGTCTAGGTCACATACCTGCTGGATTAAGTCCTCCGCCTTTGCCATCCAAGAGCTGCCTCTATTGAGACGCGTTCCTTTTGTGTCGTGTACAGCTTTGTGTAATAGGTAGTTAACGTCTGCCGATACCCCATGTAAGCCTTGACCTGTGCCACTTTGTATCTGCTAGTCATAGTCGGCAGACCCAGGACATAACGCATGGCGTTGCAGGTGTCTTTTGTGCAGCCGAGTATGAGTCTCATGGTCTCATTCTGTACTCCGTCCAGTCTTTCTAGCTGGGTTTTGCTGACAGTGAGGAGGCCAAGACCATAGTCAGTGACGCTAAGCACAAGCCCTTGATAGAGAAGGAAAAGTAGACGTTCAATATCAGCTGCTGATAGCACCTTGAGTGCTGTCAAACCTTTCCTGGCTCTAAGTATGACGTTGTCTACGTGGCATTTGTATGACAAGCATCTGTCAAATGTCATGCCCAGGTATTTCATGGTGTCCGTTCTCTCGATGTCCACACCACAGATGCATATGTCTGGCGTTGGTGTACTAACAATGTGGGTATTCAGAGAGAACCATGTTAAGGAGGCTTTGGACGGGTTCACCTGAGCTCTTGATTCCTGGCACCACTCACTAAGTCTGTCTAGTTCGTGTTGTAGTGTGGTTGTAATTTCCTGCCTGTTTTTACCTCGACGATAAACAAGGATATCATCTGCATACGACATTGTTCTGCCTAGGCCTAGGCGTTGTGCACTAGTGACTCCTGCTGTGTACACATTGAAGAGCACAGGCGACAATAGTGATCCCTGGGGCAGACCCATTAGGACGCATTCAGGTTCGGATGCCCATTCACCACATCGAAGCGACACTGTTCTTTCAAATAGCGCTGCTTCGATCCAGTTGACCAAATTTGTTTCTATCTGCATATCCAACAGCAGTCTGATGAGCATGCTGTATGGGACGCTGTTGTACGCATCTTCTAAGTCAATGGCGGCTGCAGCCGTTTCTATTCCCTCCTGGAAACCCTCATATGTGTCGTAGGCAAATACTGCAGCATTGCACCATGTATCTCTTCCTGGTCGGTACCCACCTAGTGTAGCGGGGATTAGGCCACCCGACTCCAATATTTGAGTTAACGTTCTGGCAACGGTTTTTTCCATGAGTTTTCCTACAGTGTTCTAAGACAAGTCTGTAAAAAGACACTCGAATACGATAAAGAGCTGAACGTGGTCTTTGTAGATCAAGAGAAGGCATTCGACCGTGTAGACAGAGATGTGCTGTGGAGAATTCTTGACGATTACGGAGTGCAGGGTCAATTATTAGACAACATCAGAGCCCTCTATGAAAAAAGTGAAAGTGCAGTAAGAACATCTAGTGGTCTATCTGAATGGTTCAAAGTCACAACTGGTGTCAGACAAGGATGTGTACTGTCACCATTACTTTTCATAACATACATGGATAAGATCACTGTAGAAGCAAACCCAGACGTGTATGCTATAAACGAATTACTTTTTGCTGATGATCAAAGCATACTGTATCAAAATGAACATGATCTACAGGAACATCTGACTACTCTCAACAACAGCTGTTTACAACATAATATGAGAATCAGTACAGAAAAAACAGAAGTTATGAAGATCAGCAGAACACACAGGCCACTGAATATAAGTGTTGGAAGTGCCAAAATCAAGCAAACCAAAGAGTTCAAATACTTGGGCTGTATATTTACAGAGGATGGAAGAATGGACAGAGAGATAGAAACAAGAATACAGAAAGCAAATGCTGTCACATACCAACTATCACCTCTGCTTAAACATCCAGATATAACTATGAAGACCAAAAGACAATTGATAAACACCATCTTCATTCCAACACTCTGCTACCAGTGCCAGACATGGACAATCAACAAGACCCACGAAAGAAAAATAGAAGCCTGTGAAATTAAATGTCTAAGAAAAGCAGCGAATAAGACCAGACTAGACAGGATAAAGAATATAGACATTAGAAACACTGTCAAAACTACACCATGTTTAGACTACATAGAAAATCAAAGAATGAAATGGTTTGGACATCTAACCAGGATGAAAAATGATCAAATAACATCACAAATTTTCAACCAAAGAAGCTCAGGATATAAGGCAAGAGGAAGACCAAGGAAACGGTGGATTGACTGGGTCTCCGAAACCTGCCAAAAGCATGGCCTCAGAACATCAGATGCTGCCCGCCTTGCTTACGACAGGAACTTGCATCTCCCCACAACGCTTAGCGGCATACGTGGAAGGAAAAAGTAAAAAGTAAAAGTTCTGGAGTGTGATGATTCTGTAGCCATTTATTCTCGTGTGGTCTTTTCCTGGCGGGGGAATAGGACACCCGACTCCAATATTTGAGTTAACGTTCTGGCAACGGTTTTTTCCATGAGTTTTCCTACAGTGTTCTTGAGTGTGATGATTCTGTAGCCATTTATTCTCGTGTGGTCTTTTCCTGAGGTAGCTGTGGAGCCATTCATCAGGAATAATGCCAGTTTTCATGGTGTTGTTAAAAATCGTGGATAGTTCATCAATATCTGTTGCCTCGAGGCTTTTGAAGTTGCTGTATCTAATGCCATCAGGCCCTGGAGCTGTGTCCGGACAGGTCTTCAGTGTTGCTTTGATGCAGTCCGTTGAGATGTATACTGTATCATCGACTTCCTCCATTTCAGCCATCTGGATATCATGTAAACTCTGTCTCATCTGCTCCCTCTCTTCCCTGTCTTTCTTTTCCGTCTGCAGGAGAAATCTGTGCAGGATAGCCTCGCCCTTGTCTTTATCCTATTGTAACACCACCCCGTTGGCCATCTTTAGCTCGGGCATAACAGAGGGTTGTTTGCCTCCATTCATCTTTTGGGGAAGCCGCCAGAATTTATGAGTGATTTTTCATAACCTATTTCTTCGCAAAAATGTTCCCAGTCTATTTCACATTACCTAAATCATGATTCACAACATTTTTCCTGGTTAAACTAAGTCTATTTCACATTACCTAAATCATGATTCACAACATTTTCCTGGTTAAACTAAGTCTATTTCACATTACCTAAATCATGATTCACAACATTTTCCTGGTTAAACTAAGTGTATTTCACATTACCTAAATCATGATTCACAACATTTTCCTGGTTAAACTAAGTCTGTTTCACATTACCTAAATCATGATTCACAACATTTTCCTGGTTAAACTAAGTCTATTTCACATTACCTAAATCATGATTCACAACATTTTCCTGGTTAAACTAAGTCTATTTCACATTACCTAAATCATGATTCACAACATTTTCCTGGTTAAACTAAGTGTATTTCACATTACCTAAATCATGATTCACAACATTTTCCTGGTTAAACTAAGTGTATTTCACATTACCTAAATCATGATTCACAACATTTTCCTGGTTAAACTAAGTCTATTTCACATTACCTAAATCATGATTCACAACATTTTCCTGGTTAAACTAAGTCTATTTCACATTACCTAAATCATGATTCACAACATTTTGGCTTTTTCCTGTCTCAAAAAGAGACAGCTCAAGTGCTTCTTGTAACTCTCGTTCATAAACTTTCTCTGATAAAGGAGCTCGCCTGTTGGGGAAAGAATAAAGCAATGCTCAATGAAACCAGTTTAAAAGATGTCTACATCTATAACAAGATTTGGTTATTTAGCAAAATGTTTTAAAACTAAATGCATATAATTATGGATTTAAAAAGAAGCAGGCGCAAAGAAAGTACTTGACAAATAACGAACTACAGGTCATGTCAGATTATTCAGTGTGAAAATAGATGTGAACCTGTTTGAGCATGTGACATCACCACACATCAACTTTTCTGACTACCCCTTTCACACATAATGGAACATTAACGAGTTTTGTTACCTTCCATGCCTACATCATCTACAGAAGGATTACATGTTGTTCAGTCTTCATGCACACATTGGTTCTCCTGCAGATGCTGTTCAGTCTTCATGCACACATTGGTTCTCCTGCAGATGCTGTTCAGTCTTCATGCATGCATTGGTTCTCCTGCAGATGCTGTTCAGTCTTCATGCACACATTGGTTCTCCTGCAGATGCTGTTCAATCTTCATGCATTCACTGGTTCTCCTGGACATGTTGTTCAGTCTTCATGCACACATTGGTTCTCTTGCAGATGCTGTTCAGTCTTCATGCACACATTGGTTCTCCTGCAGATGCTGTTCAGTCTTCATGCACACATTGGTTCTCCTGCAGATGCTGTTCAGTCTTCATGCACACATTGGTTCTCCTGCAGATGCTGTTTAGTCTTCATGCATTTACTGGTTCTCCTGGACATGTTGTTCAGTCTTCATGCACACATTGGTTCTCTTGCAGATGCTGTTCAGTCTTCATGCACACATTGGTTCTCTTGCAGATGCTGTTCAGTCTTCATGCACACATTGGTTCTCTTGCAGATGCTGTTCAGTCTTCATGCACACATTGGTTCTCTTGCAGATGCTGTTCAGTCTTCATGCACACATTGGTTCTCTTGCAGATGCTGTTCAGTCTTCATGCATTTACTGGTTCTCCTGGACATGTTGTTCAGTCTTCATGCACACATTGGTTCTCTTGCAGATGCTGTTCAGTCTTCATGCACACATTGGTTCTCTTGCAGATGCTGTTCAGTCTTCATGCACACATTGGTTCTCTTGCAGATGCTGTTCAGTCTTCATGCACACATTGGTTCTCCTGCAGATGCTGTTCAGTCTTCATGCACACATTGGTTCTCCTGCAGATGCTGTTCAGTCTTCATGCACACATTGGTTCTCCTACAGATGCTGTTCAGTCTTCATGCATTTACTGGTTCTCCTGGACATGTTGTTCAGTCTTCATGCACACACTGGTTCTCCTGCAGATGCTGTTCAGTCTTCATGCACACACTGGTTCTCTTGCAGATGCTGTTCAGTCTTCATGCACACACTGGTTCTCCTGCAGATGCTGTTCAGTCTTCATGCACACACTGGTTCTCCTGCAGATGTTGTTCAGTCTTCATGCACACACTGGTTCTCCTACAGATGCTGTTCAGTCTTCATGCACACACTGGTTCTCCTGCAGATGCTGTTCAGTCTTCATGCACACACTGGTTCTCCTACAGATGCTGTTCAGTCTTCATGCACACACTGGTTCTCCTGCAGATGCTGTTCAGTCTTCATGCACACACTGGTTCTCCTGCAGATGCTGTTCAGTCTTCATGCACACATTGGTTCTCTTGCAGATGCTGTTTAGTCTTCATGCATTCACTGGTTCTCCTGCAGATGCTGTTCAGTCTTCATGCATTCACTGGTTCTACAGATCGCTGACAGCATGACCAGCGTAATATTAAATCCATTCAGAGTGAATCAGAAAGCAGTGATTTCCTGACAGGCAGATGATCTTATCCAGTCAACATTCATGCAGGCAATAGGTAGTGACAACAAATATTGAGAAAAGCAGTGAAAACATGGATGTCAATGTTCTGAGAATGACACGAGTTACTAAAGATCGTCCAAGGTGGAGTTGCACACATACTGATGAGGCAGCAGAAACTATCAACAAGACATGCAGTAATCTGAGAGATGGAGCACTGTCTGAGCTTACGTCTGCTGAGAATTCTGATGGTTTGAATGGTTGAAAGAAACTCATGTATCTTAACATCTGGTCACAATGGGTCCCATGAATGCCAACTGACCACTAAAAAGAGAAAAAGTATAGGGTAATGTTTTCAATGCTGCAGCAAAAGAAAGGTTGATACATTTCTGTTGTGAAGACTGATAGTCTGTGACTTGTGGCGCCACATTTTGAGCCATGCAGCAAGCATGCAATTTCAACACAGTGTTATAAGAAAGTACCTTGTTGTTGAAGTCTGTGATGTAATCACATGTTTTTTCACATCCTTAACAAGGGTCATGCTCCCATCTTTGACAGATTTCTGTGATTTGTTTGCTGCTTCAACTGTCTTGGAAGACTTTTGCTTCTTTGCAGGATGAGAAGGCACTGCAAAATCATCTGGAAAAGAAATCAGAGAAGAAAATGCTTTGAAGTTGGCTGTTGTAAAAATAAACTATGTTGTAATGTCCCAAACTGAGGATTGTTCTGTGTGGTCTCCCACTTGCTCAGACTGGTCTGGAGGAAAGTAGTGACTAGGAAACAAGTCATGTAAGTGGTCAATCACAGACAGAGAGAAACTTCCATGAGCTGGGAGATCTGTGTCAGTTACAGGGCATGAAAACTAGCAACCAAACTCAGAACATTTCACTCTAATCACAGACCAGTGTAGCTTATGGAGCAGAAACATGTTGAGTGGCTAAAACAATCTGGAATAAATTACAAACATTAACTAGCAGAAACATGTAGAGTGGCTAAAACAATCTGGAATAAACTACAAACATTAACTAGCAGAAACATGTAGAGTGGCTAAAACAATCTGGAATAAATTACAAACACTAACTAGCAGAAACATGTAGAGTGGCTAAAACAATCTGGAATAAATTACAAACACTAACTAGCAGAAACATGTAGAGTGGCTAAAACAATCTGGAATAAATTACAAACACTAACTAGCAGAAACATGTTGAGTGGCTAAAACAATCTGGAATAAATTACAAACATTAACTAGCAGAAACATGTTGAGTGGCTAAAACAATCTGGAATAAATTATAAACATTAACTAGCAGAAACATGTAGAGTGGCTAAAACAATCTGGAATAAATTACAAACACTAACTAGCAGAAACATGTTGAGTGGCTAAAACAATCTGGAATAAATTACAAACACTAACTAGCAGAAACATGTAGAGTGGCTAAAACAATCTGGAATAAATTACAAACATTAACTAGCAGAAACATGTAGAGTGGCTAAAGCAATCTGGAATAAATTACAAACACTAACTAGCAGAAACATGTTGAGTGGCTAAAACAATCTGGAATAAATTACAAACATTAACTAGCAGAAACATGTTGAGTGGCTAAAACAATCTGGAATAAATTATAAACATTAACTAGCAGAAACATGTAGAGTGGCTAAAACAATCTGGAATAAATTACAAACATTAACTAGCAGAAACATGTAGAGTGGCTAAAACAATCTGGAATAAATTACAAACACTAACTAGCAGAAACATGTAGAGTGGCTAAAGCAATCTGGAATAAATTACAAACACTAACTAGCAGAAACATGTAGAGTGGCTAAAACAATCTGGAATAAATTACAAACATTAACTAGCAGAAACATGTAGAGTGGCTAAAACAATCTGGAATAAACTACAAAAATTAACTAGCAGATACATGTAGAGTGGCTAAAACAATCTGGAATAAATTACAAACATTAACTAGCAGAAACATGTAGAGTGGCTAAAACAATCTGGAATAAATTATAAACATTAACTAGCAGAAACATGTAGAGTGGCTAAAACAATCTGGAATAAATTATAAAACATTTAACTAACTAGACAGAAACATGTAGAGTGGATAAAACAATCTGGAATAAACTACAAACATTAACTAGCAGAAACATGTAGAGTGGCTAAAACAATCGTGGAATAAATTACAAACACTAACTAGCAGAAACATGTTTGAGTGGCTAAAAACAATCTGGAATAATTACAAACATTAACTAGCAGAAACATGTAGAGTGGCTAAAACAATCTGGAATAAATTACAAAACATTAACTAGCAGTAACATGTAGAGTGGCTAAAACAATCTGGAATAAATTATAAACATTAACTAGCAGAAACATGTTAGAGTGGCTAAACAATCTGGAATAAACTACAAACACTAACTAGCAGAAACATGTTGAGTGGCTAAAACAATCTGGAATAAACTACCCAACATTAACTAGCAGAAACATGTAGAGTGGCTAAAACAATCTGGAATAAACTACAAACATTAACTAGCAGAAACATGTAGAGTGGCTAAAACAATCTGGAATAAATTACAAACATTAACTAGCAGAAACAGTGTAGAGTGGCTAAAACAATCTGGAATAAATTACAAACATTAACTAGCAGAAACATGTAGAGTGGCTAAAACAATCTGGAATAAATCATAAACATTAACTAGCAGAAACATGTAGAGTGGCTAAACAATCTGGAATAAACTACAAACATTAACTAGCAGAACACATGTAGAGTGGCTAAAACAATCTAGAATAAATTATTACCAAACATTAACTAGCAGACCAACATGTAGAGTGGCTAAAACAATCTGGAATAAATTACAAACATTAACTAGCAGAAACATGTAGAGTGGCTAAAACAATCTGGAAATAAACTACAAACACTTAACTAGCAGAAACATGTAGAGTGGCTAAAGCAATCTGGAATAAACTACAAAACATTAACTAGCAGAAACATGTTAGAGTGGCTAAAACAATCTGGAATAAACTACATGCATTAACTAGCAGAAACAACTGTAGAGTGGTGCTAAAACAATCTGGAATAAACTATCAAACATAAACTAGCAGAAAACATGTAGAGTGGCTAAAACAAATCTGGAATAAACTACAAACATTAACTAGTGCTTGTGCAGATTAGTGGAAATGAAATGGCAATGACGAATACATTAACATGGAGCTCAGAAATACAACAAAACAATTCATGGAGCTCAGAAATACAAACAAAACGAAATTCATGGAGCTCAGAAATACACCAAAACAAATTCATGGAGCTCAGAAAACAACAAAACAAAAATCATGGAGCTNATGTAGAGTGGCTAAAACAATCTGGAATAAATTATAAACATTAACTAGCAGAAACATGTAGAGTGGATAAAACAATCTGGAATAAACTACAAACATTAACTAGCAGAAACATGTAGAGTGGCTAAAACAATCTGGAATAAATTACAAACACTAACTAGCAGAAACATGTTGAGTGGCTAAAACAATCTGGAATAAATTACAAACATTAACTAGCAGAAACATGTAGAGTGGCTAAAACAATCTGGAATAAATTACAAACATTAACTAGCAGTAACATGTAGAGTGGCTAAAACAATCTGGAATAAATTATAAACATTAACTAGCAGAAACATGTAGAGTGGCTAAACAATCTGGAATAAACTACAAACACTAACTAGCAGAAACATGTTGAGTGGCTAAAACAATCTGGAATAAACTACAAACATTAACTAGCAGAAACATGTAGAGTGGCTAAAACAATCTGGAATAAACTACAAACATTAACTAGCAGAAACATGTAGAGTGGCTAAAACAATCTGGAATAAATTACAAACATTAACTAGCAGAAACATGTAGAGTGGCTAAAACAATCTGGAATAAATTACAAACATTAACTAGCAGAAACATGTAGAGTGGCTAAAACAATCTGGAATAAATCATAAACATTAACTAGCAGAAACATGTAGAGTGGCTAAACAATCTGGAATAAACTACAAACATTAACTAGCAGAAACATGTAGAGTGGCTAAAACAATCTAGAATAAATTACAAACATTAACTAGCAGAAACATGTAGAGTGGCTAAAACAATCTGGAATAAATTACAAACATTAACTAGCAGAAACATGTAGAGTGGCTAAAACAATCTGGAATAAACTACAAACATTAACTAGCAGAAACATGTAGAGTGGCTAAAGCAATCTGGAATAAACTACAAACATTAACTAGCAGAAACATGTAGAGTGGCTAAAACAATCTGGAATAAACTACATGCATTAACTAGCAGAAACATGTAGAGTGGCTAAAACAATCTGGAATAAACTACAAACATTAACTAGCAGAAACATGTAGAGTGGCTAAAACAATCTGGAATAAACTACAAACATTAACTAGTGCTTGTGCAGATTAGTGGAAATGAAATGGCAATGACGATACCATTAACATGGAGCTCAGAAATACAACAAAACAAATTCATGGAGCTCAGAAATACAACAAAACAAATTCATGGAGCTCAGAAATACAACAAAACAAATTCATGGAGCTCAGAAAAACAACAAAACAAACTCATGGAGCTCAGAAAAACAACAAAACAAATTCATGGAGCTCAGAAATACAACAAAACAAACTCATGGAGCTCAGAAATACAACAAAACAAACTCATGGAGCTCAGAAAAACAACAAAACAAATTCATGGAGCTCAGAAATACAACAAAACAAACTCATGGAGCTCAGAAATACAACAAAACAAACTCATGGAGCTCAGAAATACAACAAAACAAACTCATGGAGCTCAGAAACACAACAAAACAAATTCATGGAGCTCAGAAAAACAACAAAACAAATTCATGGAGCTCAGAAATACAACAAAACAAACTCATGGAGCTCAGAAATACAACAAAACAAACTCATGGAGCTCAGAAATACAACAAAACAAACTCATGGAGCTCAGAAACACAACAAAACAAATTCATGGAGCTCAGAAACACAACAAAACAAATTCATGGAGCTCAGAAATACAACAAAACAAATTCATGGAGCTCAGAAACACAACAAAACAAATTCATGGAGCTCAGAAACACAACAAAACAAATTCATGGAGCTCAGAAACACAACAAAACAAATTCATGGAGCTCAGAAATACAACAAAACAAATTCATGGAGCTCAGAAACACAACAAAACAAATTCATGGAGCTCAGAAATACAACAAAACAAATTCATGGAGCTCAGAAATACAACAAAACAAATTCATGGAGCTCAGAAATACAACAAAACAAATTCATGGAGCTCAGAAATACAACAAAACAAATTCCAGTGAATCAAAAAGATATTGGCACTGGAGTAGACACACACTGAGAAAAGAATTTTCTCGCACTGGAACCAACAAGTCGATACAAATAAAGAATGATTTTAAAAAAAGTAAATGAAAGACTGGGGTGAGCTTAGAAATACAACTAAACAATTTAAAGTGAATCAAGAGGTGGGGAAAAGATGGTGGCATTGGAGTAGACACACTAAGAAAAGAATGTTCTTGAATTCAAACCCACAATTTGATACAACTAAAGAATGATTAAAAAAAGTGAAGAGAAATGTGAGACTGAGGTGTTTAGATTGGACAGGGCAAGGAGTGGGTTGCACACAATGTCAAGAGATAGGACAACTTGGACTTGCTGACACAAGACCACATTCCACTGTGAGAATAACAGCCAGCAGAAGAGGTGGTCAGTCACAGTCAGTTTCCACCTCTCTGTTGACTAGAGTGCTACCTGCTTTAGCCTGCATGTGTACTTCTGGTGTCTTATATACACAAAACCTACAGAAACATTTCCTGTGAATACATTATCAACCAAATTCCTTTCAAGGGGGAGATTTTTACACATACTGACCCAGGTTTCCAGGCTGAAAAGAGCACCAGGAAATGATCTGAGAAATAAATGTGGCTCTCATGATACTGACTATATCCTCATATTGGCTACATCCTCATACTGACTATATCCTCACAGTGACTTTATCCGCATATTGACTACATCCTCATACTGACTATATCCTCATATTGACTATATCCTCACACTAACTATATCTTTGTACTGACTATATCCTCATACTGACTATATCATCATATTGACTATATCTTTGTACTGACTATATCCCCACCCTGACTTATATCTTCGTACTGACTACATCCTCAAACTAGCTACATCCTCATACTGACAATATCCTCACTCTGACAACAATCTCATACTGACTATATCCGGACTCTGACTATATCCTCACACTGACTATATCCTCACACTGACTATATCCTCATACTGACTATATCCTCATACTGACTATATCCTCATACTGACTATATCCGGACTCTGACTATATCCTCATACTGACTATATCCTCATACTGACTATATCCGGACTGACTATATCCTCACACTGACTATATCCTCATACTGACTATATCCTCATACTGACTACATCCTCATACTGACTATATCCTCATACTGACTATTTCCTCACTCTAACTATATCCTCACTAACTATATCCTCATACTGACTATATTCTCACACTGACTATATTCTCATACTGACTATATCCATGTACTGACTATATCTTCACAGTGAATAGATCATCAATGTGATTATATCCTCACAGTGACTATCCTCATACTGACTGCATCCTCATATTGACTATATCCTTATAGTGACTATATCATCATTTTGACTTTATCCTCATACCGACTTATCCTCATATTGTCTTTATTCCCATTCCAACTATATCCTTATAATAACAATATCCTCATAGTGAACAGATTCTCATAGTTCTTCTTCTTCTTCATTGGTTACGTTCATCAGCTGTACACTCTAGCGGAAAGTTCTAGTTGTTCGTCAACTTTTGGACTGCAGTCCTGCTCCAGAACCTAAGTGTTGCGTGTGCATCAGTTTTACAGATCTGATTCACTTGAATGCAGACTGTTGGTTTCTTGCCTCTCAGGCAGATGCACTCTGACTTAAAAGGAAGCTCCCATTTAGTCGACTCTTATGACATGCTTTTGGGTAGGCAGTGGATCTATTCTTGTTTTCCCCACAATGGGGCCCCGTAACCCACACAGGGAGATCCTCATAGTGACTATCCTCATACTGACTGCATCCTCATATTGACTATATCCTCACACTGACTATATTCTCACACTGACTATATCCTCACACTGACTATATCCTCACACTGACTATATCCGCACACCGACTATATCTTCATAGTTATATCCTCATACTAACTGTATCCTCACTTTGACTATATCCTTATAGTGATTATATCATCATTTTGACTTTATCCTCATACCGACTTATCCTCATATTGTCTATATCCCCATACCAACTATACCCTTGTATTGACTATATCCTCATAATAACTATATTCTCATAGTGAACAGATCCTCATAGTGACTGCATCCTCAAACTGACTATATCCGCAAACTGACTATATCCTCATATTGACTATATTTTGTAATATAAGAAAAACATAGCTTTCTCTTTTCACAGATATCAGGAGTTGTGACTTCTTCTTCTACTTCTTCTTCGTTTACCGGCTGTGAATTCAGCAGAAGGTCCCGGCTGATCGTCCGCTTAGACTTTTGGCTTTTTCCTGGACATGAGTTTTACGTGTACAACCGTTTTACTGGCTTTTACCTTTCCCTGCCTCACGGGCAGATGTACTCCGACTTCGAGGAAAGATGTCAGGCCTATCTCTAGGATGACTGTGGCCATTGTTTTGTGTGGGTTGAGATGTTGCCTTATTTGTGTGATGTTCTCTTTGACCCGCAACACAGTATTTCCTTCACTCCACAGACTTTTAACAGAGAGTTGTTATTTAGTGGTACATTTGGCAAGTAGACTTTACTCATGTCCCAAATGAGTTTGGTTTAATAAACTTTTTCACCCATGCGTTTGAGGGCGGGCTGATGAGAACCACAAGGACACTACACCTCTGGGGGCAGCCAACTCCGAGATCCCCTGACAGCTCTGTTAATGTTCATCTGAGACATTATCTGTGGCGCACGACGGGGACGTGCTGCAGGAGTCTTGCATGAGGTTCTATAAAACCAGAACAGTAAAGGACGGGCGCCCGAGTGATGTACGGAGATCTCCTTATGCACTTCACATTGGACTTAATCTCACAACTGTGACAGAAATCACCACGCCACAAGAGTTGTGACAACTCTGAAGCGGAAAAATAACACCAGCGAACAACTAGCGGACCTGAGAGTGGCACTTTATGACTTACGTCCGAAATTTGTAAACAAAATTAGTGAATAATGAGGATTATCATTGTAGCACTCCGTATAGATCCATAGATGCTCTGTCTCCTCCTCAATAGCTTCACAAGAGTAAAACAACTAATTCCACCATGTCATACATTGGAACACCTGATGGACAGACATTTGAACCTAAGCAGCCGCACAGTAGGAATCTCAGTCAATAAATGTTTGAACTAAGGTTTGTCATATAGTAGAATTTCCAGGCAACAGACAATAGTAGGGTACTCTGCCCGCAAATTTCACTCATGTTCTTAATGAGTTTTCTATGTACATTAAACCCATGTGCAGGGTAGTGCCAGAGGATTTCTGAGCATTACATCTCTGGGGCCACCAACTCTGAGATCCCTTGTCGGCTTGGTTTGGGCCAATGCAGACCATCATCTGTAAGGCATGACAAGGATGTGTGGTAGTGTGGTAGGAGATTTACATGAGGATCCATAAAACCAGCACAGAGCCTGCTAACCACCCAATGTAAGGTGGGTATGGCGTGTCCACTTATACACATCACAACAGCGTTAACGCTTTTGGCCCCAGGCAAATGTTACTTGAACCCCTTCATCCCCGAAAAGCTGTATTTAAAATCAATCAATACTTACATATGAAGAAGTTCAACAGAAACACTATAGCACAGAAATAGTTCAACTAATAATCCATATACAAACGTCCCTCTGTGGGTTCTGGGGCTCCAGGGGGGGAAGGGGGGCAAGAACAGACCTACTGTTTCCCTAACATGCATGCTGTAGAAGTCAAATAGTTGGGGATATCCTTGAAAGTCAGACTGCATCTACCTGAGAGGCAAGAAACCAACAGTTTGCATACAAAGTAGCCAGATGTGCAAAATGGTTGTGCCCACAACACTCAGGTGCTGGAACGGGACTAGGGTACGGAGGAGGATAAAAAATCTAAACTCTCTGCCGGTGTTTACAAAGAAGAAGAAGAAGATATACAAAAGATTAATATATCATTTGTCTGTGACAGATCGCAGCAAGAACATGATATCTTTGGAAATAACCATGTGTTCATTGGTACTGAAAGAGTTAACTTTTCATCACAACTGTGGCTGAAACCAGCATACCATGGCTGGAATCCTATATGTTCAATAAGCTACAGATAGTAGACTATATATCAAAGCTATTCAAAAGGCTTCCCACGGGCCTGATCTGGTCCGTGAAAGCCTAACATGTGGCCCGCAGATCACTGTCAATTGTACTATATTAATAGGAATTCTACACTGAGGCTCGCTTCCGGCCCATGACAATCCCCATTTTCAAACTTTTGGCCCCTGAGTAAAATTAGCTGAATAGCTTGCTATATACACACAGACACATATATATAGTGGTTAAAGTGCTGGCTTCTCATGCACAAGATCTGAATTTGATCCTCCACAAGAGATGTACACATCTTCTGTTATGGAAAAAATAAAAATCCTAACCTGCATAATTCAGGCTCATGGATGCCCCCTCCCCCAAATTAAATACAGGCAGGAAAATCAGTTTACCACTTCGTTCAGTTGCTAGTAACAGCAGACTTGTTTACTGGTATTTTTCACGCAGACCAAACCTCTCACACCCTCCAGAGAGGTTTCTGCCAAACATTATCACCAACAGAGAACAAGTTTAAGTAAAACATGAAATGTAATATGTCTAGCACTTGACTGTTTAACTGTCCTTACTTCAGAGTGACATTCACAAAACTAATCAAACTTAATGGTCACAAATTATGTCCCAGTTCTTACCATCTGATTCTTCTCCATCATCAAATCCTGCATACTTGACAGATCCATGAGATCTGCAATTTTAAAAAACAAGAGAAAGATCTAAGTAGCAAAGTGATAACAAATAAAGCAGAAATGACATGGTGGGAAATGGAATGCTTGAAAGTTTTCTTTACAAAATGAATAAATTTCCCAATTATCTCAGGTTGGCATACAACCAACCATTAAAAAAAAAATTATTATTTGTTACCATGTTTTGGAAAATAATTTGAAGAAATTCACCCAGTGAATAATAATGTGCTTTTGTGGGTGAGATTGCAATGCCTCAACCTAAGAGTTACATACATCTGTAAACAATGTACATCTGTAAATAATGTTTCTATGGCTGGTGGAAACTCACAATTTATGCATAATTAGAACATGTACACGAAATATTGCAACTGGTAGAGTTTATCACCAAGTTCCCCAAAATAGCAGGCTACATGCAATATGACAGTGCTATGATGGCAGATGTCATGACACCTGAACAGCAATTTGTGTTAATGTAAAAAAAGATTAAACTCTCAGTGATGGATATCAGTCTTGTGATCAATTAAAAAGTAAGGTAAATAAACAACTTTATGTGTGAAAAAAATCTTCATGTGTGTCAGACATCCTTGAATGTGGTGTAATTTTAATATTTTATTGTTGCAATACTGATCCTTTGATAGTTTAGATGTTTTCTGTAGTCATTTCTCTTGCATCTAATATACAACTGTCACAATCCCCTTGTGTGTTCCAGGGCCCCACTGTGGGGAGGGGGGGAACATGAATATACCCACTTGTAGGAATCAACTAGCTAGGGGGAATCCTCCAGAGCTGGAGTACATCTGCTTGAGTGGTGAGCAACCAACTACCAAGAGTCTGCAAACAAATAAACCAGATGTGTGAAACAGATGTGCACGCAATACTGGTTCTGGAAGAAGACTAAAGTCCACATGTAGACGAACATCCAAAACTTTCCGCCAAAGTTTACAGCCGATATTTTTTTTATACAGGAAGGTTTGCTCAAAATTAATTCTAATTATCTAGCGACTACGGTGTTAGGCAATTGGCGGTCTTTTGGCAATTTCCGTTACCATGGAAACCGTTCGAAACTTGCTTCGCAAATGTCGGCTGGGGTTTCGGGATGGGTCCTAATCTCTCATGAAATTTTGCGGTTGGTGTGATTTTCACCCACTATAAAAAGCTGAAAAAGGCGAGAAGGAACCCGATTAACAGCGCATGTCTACGACAGCCGGACGTCCTCTGTTTTTCTGTTACATCAGTTTGATTGAAAATAGCGATAAGTATTCAGGGTTGGCTTTAGGCTTTAACTGTTACTGTACCTGGTAATGCTAGTTATAATTGAATTCTCCGTCCAATTTTACATTTGTGCATAAAATTTCTTTCTGGTACGTGGCTAGGTAGATGTAGTGACATTTTTCAGGCAATCTCTGGCTTAGCCAGTGGCTGTGTCTCATTGTCTGCCATCTTGTCCAATGTCAACAAAGCCAAAACAAAATTTGCGCAGTTTGGTTGTGCAGAGAAAACTTCTTGTTTCTGAGACGCAAGTTTTCAACAGCTGTTTCTTACATCTCATCTCCACAAAAACCTACATATCTCAGCTCAGAAATGACACACAAGCCTAAATGAGGTACCATTGGAAAGAGATTGTTTACAGCTATCTAACTGTGCTGGTTTTATTGGTGTAGAGGCAGAGGGCATTTTGAAAATTTGACTAAATTATCCAAATTCCAGGGGGGGGGGGGGGAATGCGGTCCTGAGAGAGTTTGTCCTAATTAGGTGTTGAGCCAAAAAAAAAATAGATTAAATTACTGCTTCTACAGATCTAAATGTATTTAGTGTAATCTCACAGCTGCAGTGTGACATGTAGGTTTCTTTTCACAAAACACTTTTGTTTTCTTTTAACTGGATCAGCTCCGCCTCTACGACCAGACCAGATGAGATTCGATGCTAGGTTTTAACCAAACCAAATGATTAGTCGCTAGTTTCACTAATACAATCAATACTCATTGTAACAATATAGATATTTACCTTGAAGATCGCCTTTCGGACATTATAATTTTCGAAGACTGTGTTTAAACAATAATCAAGTTTAGTCTGTTGCCATAGCCAAAGTTTTAATTACCCGCCATTGGTTTGCACAAGTATGGCCGGATTTCAGCCGCCACGCACGACAAACAACAATGGCGCTCAAAGAGTTGTTTTGTTATGTTCTCAGTTTTAGTATTTATACATTTGTTTCTCAATATCCCCTACTTGTTACAGATTAATACAAAAAATTATGATAAAATCGTTTGCCCTCTTCTTTTTTTTAAACAGCTATAATATAATCCAAAGTTCAAATTTAAAAAAATTAAGTAAACTTAACAAAAATGTTTTATTACCAATAGCCAATGTGGCATATATACCCAGGACTTGGAGATGGGGTTTGGAGCGAATAAGATGCTTGTACTTCTGTTATGTACACTGAAATCTTCTTCTGCAGTTTATAGCTGAAAAATAAACCGCTCTATTCACCGTTCGCATTGTATCACGAAAAGATACAAAAGCAAACGAACATTGGAACCTCTTTGGTTGGCTTTCTGTTTTCTAATTGGTGACTCCAAGTGAGGGGCACCAGAACCTGGGAGTTCAGGCACCTTGAGGGAATCCCTCCCCGCCCCCAACCCCTACAATGTCTAGGAAGGTTGAGAATCCCTTATAAAATAACTTAGGGAGGCACTAAGCACGCCCACATCCACCCCATACAAACACACATGTTAAGACGTATAGACATATTAGGATGTGTTAGCCCGGCTCGCTAGCGTAGTTGGTTAAATACCACACAGAGGAGGAGCTGCACTGTTTACTATCTGCATCCGTTGATGCATGCTGTGAATTTGGACCAGCAACCAGCAAACTCGACAGTTATGGTTCAAGGTGTTAATGACAAATCTGCAGAATACATTGATGGTAAAGAGCTGGAGACAATTGACCATATTACTTATCTAGGATCCGCAATAAATAACAAACTATCGCTGGACCAAGAAATCAACACCAGGATAGTAACAACAATCAATGAGCAAGCTCACGATTAAAACCAAAACTCTTGTTTACAATGTCTGTATTCTCAGCACTCTGCTTTGTGGCAGTGAAACTAGATCAGGTTATTCGCACCAGGAGAAATTATTGTTAAATAGCTTTCAAATGCGATGCCTAAAAAAGAATACATGGCATTAAGTGGCAAGACAAGATCACAAACACTGAGGTTTCTCGATGCTCAGTCTACGAAGGCTCAGGTGGCTGGATCACAACTGTAGAAAGAAGGATGGCAAAGTCCCTAATTACATACTCTATAGTTACACATGGACAGAAGGTGTCGGGGCTGGCCTCTACTACGATACTCTGTGGTTACAGATGGACAGAAGGTGTCAGGGCTGGCCTCTACTACGATACTCTATAGTTACAGATGGACAGAAGGTGTCAGGGCTGGCCTCTACTACGATATTCTGTGGTTACAGATGGACAGAAGGTGTCAGGGCTGGCCTCTACTACGATACTCTATAGTTACAGATGGACAGAAGGTGTCAGGGCTGGCCTCTACTACGATACTCTGTGGTTACAGATGGACAGAAGGTGTCAGGGCTGGCCTCTACTACGATACTCTATAGTTACAGATGGACAGAAGGTGTCAGGGCTGGCCTCTACTACGATACTCTGTGGTTACAGATGGACAGAAGGTGTCAGGGCTGGCCTCTACTACGATACTCTATAGTTACAGATGGACAGAAGGTGTCAGGGCTGGCCTCTACTATGATACTCTGTGGTTACAGATGGACAGAAGGTGTCAGGGCTGGCCTCTACTATGATACTCTGTGGTTACAGATGGACAGAAGGTGTCAGGGCTGACCTCTACTATGATACTCTATAGTTACAGATGGACAGAAGGTGTCAGGGCTGGCCTCTACTATGATACTCTGTGGTTACAGATGGACAGAAGGTGTCAGGGCTGGCCTCTACTATGATACTCTATAGTTACAGATGGACAGAAGGTGCCAGGACTGGCCTCTACTACGATACTCTGTGGTTACAGATGGGCAGAAGGTGTCAGGGCTGGCCTCTACTACGATACTCTGTGGTTACAGATGGACAGAAGGTGTCAGGGCTGGCCTCTACTATGATACTCTATAGTTACAGATGGACAGAAGGTGTCGGGGCTGGCCTCTACTATGATACTCTGTGGTTACAGATGGACAGAAGGTGTCAGGGCTGGCCTCTACTATGATACTCTATAGTTACAGATGGACAGAAGGTGTCAGGGCTGGCCTCTACTACGATACTCTGTGGTTACAGATGGACAGAAGGTGTCATGGCTGGCCTCTACTACGATACTCTATAGTTACAGATGGACAGAAGGTGTCAGGGCTGGCCTCTACTACGATACTCTATAGTTACAGATGGACAGAAGGTGTCAGGGCTGGCCTCTACTATGATACTCTATAGTTACAGATGGACAGAAGGTGTCGGGGCTGGCCTCTGCTATGATACTCTGTGGTTACAGATGGACAGAAGGTGTCAGGGCTGGCCTCTACTATGATACTCTATAGTTACAGATGGACAGAAGGTGTCAGGGCTGGCCTCTGCTATGATACTCTATAGTTACAGATGGACAGAAGGTGTCAGGGCTGGCCTCTACTATGATACTCTGTGGTTACAGATGTACAGAAGGTGTCAGGGCTGGCCTCTACTACGATACTCTATAGTTACAGATGGACAGAAGGTGTCAGGGCTGACCTCTACTACGATACTCTGTGGTTACAGATGGACAGAAGGTGTCAGGGCTGGCCTCTACTACGATACTCTGTGGTTACAGATGGACAGAAGGTGTCAGGGCTGACCTCTGCTACGATATAAAGATGTGTGCAAGCGGGACCTGAAAGATGCGGGTACCGAGGACTCGTGGGGACAAATGCCATGGACCGTGTTGCGTGGAGGGGCCACATCAGGAAGAGAATTATAATTTATAATAAAGGAAGAAATAACTGCAGAACGGATAAGAGCTGAGCGTCTGAAAAGAAACACGCTAAACACAAATGATTTCATCAACGGTCCTGAAATCCCATGCTACAGTTGTGAAAACTTTTTTTTTTACGTGGGGGGATTTGCTAGTCAGACTCGCCAACGCCACGGGCTGTGAATCCCATACATCCTAATAGCACAATATAACACTGTCGCCTGTCTGGAAAGACGGAAAGGTGCCAACAACAACAAAGCATGTGACTTGCAAATCACAACTATTCAACACACATATCAGCAAGTTATTTCCTAGTCTTTCTTCCTCTCCGGGCTGCTACCTGCAAATTGGATTAATCTTACACTGCAAGAGGCCTCACACTTGGATTTTCTTTTCTCCTTTGCAGCCTAACATGTCTGTCCCCCACCCCACCCCATCCCTGCGAATTATAATACTCACTGCATTTAGATCCTTCATTAATAATGTTCACAAACGAAACTACTTGTCACCCACCACCAACAATAACAACAGACGAAGCAACTGAAAATGTCATAAGCTTTGAATGTCTAGGCTCCATAAAAAACAGCCATGGAAACCGTCCCACGAAAGTCGGAAGGAGGATGGCCATAGCAACGAAAAGGTTAAACAACATTAACAGTTTATGGTTAGGCACCAGCAAGAAAATCAAGGTTAAAATGTTGCATCTTCCCCGTTGTATCATACTGTAGTATCTCTCAGTTGACTGCATCTTGAAGTAGCCAAGTGACTTGTGTGTTCCGGCACCACTAAGAGCTTTGCCAATATTTAAGATAACTGTAAGAGGGGAAAGGGGGGGGGGGGGGGGGGGGGGGGGCGTCTATGTCCATCAGATCAAGGAGGAGGAGGCAAAGAAAAAGAGACACAAAAAGGCAGACTGTCTTGCCCTAGGCAAAAGGCAAAGATAGAAAAATCCAAAGCCAAGGCAAAACTATTTGCCGAAGTCAGATTACGGAGCTTTGTGTTATGTTAGATTCAAGGTTAGTCGATACTTCTCAGAACTTGTATGCCTTGATAACACCAGGTGGAGGATGTATTAAAGAAGTTAATTGTACGTAGAGCGGAGCAAAAGCACCATTTGGCCAAATTAATAATATGCTACGCAATCCAACTTTGATATGTGGCCTAGAAGTTATGAACGCGGTTTTATAATTTCGAAATACTAGACTCGAATCAGTTGCATCCTGGCAGCAGACCGCTTTGCGTTGATTTAAACAATGGTATAGATAGTTGACCGTTACAAGAACAAACTCATTATCAATTAGCCAATCCTTTATAGATCGTTGCTCTCCTCTAGCCAATTCAATGACAAATTACGCAACTAAATTTTGACTAGCAAAAGCACAAACAGCCAACAAGTGAAAGGGTTGGTTTGTTGTTTGTAACGCCTTGTAACGGATATGAAACTAGCTTAACCATCTCGAGGCGAAAACTTTCGAGAAATAAGCATAAATGTTGGTGAAAACTTATCTGGAGGCTAGGGGATGTGGTTTTATACACAAATGACGAGAAGCTTCTTTCTTCTTCTTTTGACCCACTGCTTATGCCGCAAAGCGTCGCAGAGAAGAGTTATGTGTAATTTCTTGTCTTTAGTTAGTAAACGTGTTTAATGTCATATTGTGTTTTTATGGTTTCTCTTTTATTCTCTCCATCCATATCAATCTTGGTGGGCCTCTTGTAGCCTGCTGTTCACATATAGTACGCGCTAGCTTCTTACTGATTTTGTTCCATTTTGACCAGATGACTAAAACATTTAATTTGTTGATGTTCTATGAAATCATTCCCCGGCATTGTGCCTAATATTGTTCTTTCTTCTTTTTTTTGGCGACTCTCATCTCACATGTTGCAATTTTGCGTGTCTGTTTTTTTTTTCTAGGACTGACAGTGTCTGACAATGATAGCACAAAGTTGGCACGAACAGCGCATTTATCAGGGGCTTTAATGACGAGAATACCATAACATATGTACACTCACAAGTGAAACGGAAATGTATTGCAAGAAATACAATCATGAGGGGAACTGATT